CAGAATGACTGTAGGTGTTAAAAGCGTTCAATACTGCTGGTCGGATGCGGGGTCTAGCATGATTCGCGCAGTACGGATCCACCGTCACAATCTAAGCAGGGCTTGTGAGAATTGGCGAAAGGCTTTTTCCTTGCTTTAGCTTGCGTCAAGCTGAATCGCAATCGCATTGCTCGATCTGGAGCTGGGGTAGAATCACTAACTAGACTTCGGTGTGGACAGGCAGCTGTAAATGGTGTGGGACCGTGCAGCCGGATTCGCGTCTAGCGCCGCAATACGTAAGTGTTGGATGCCGACTCATGGCCGAGCTGCAGATGCACATCACTTGCAGCGACCGCTTCCACGCCACATGGAGTAGCTTTGGCCACCTCGTCGGAGACAGGCCTTTTAAAACAATGATAGCTACGAAACTATAACGCATGGACGATAGCGTCACATACGTGCAAGGAAGAGGCTCCGGAGGTCCGAAGCGCGAACCTGGTCCCGCAACGCTGGGTATCCCGCGACGCTGGGTGTCCCGCAACGCTGGGACGGGCGTTAGGTGTGGAATGCGGTGACAGGTCTTGAGGTTGATGCGATCACGATCCGATGGAATGCCTCCTTCAAATCACATCAGACGTACCATTTGCTGCCATGCAGTCGGGGTCGGATTTCCTCAATGATCTCCGGAGGAGGCCATTCCCAGCAAGGGATCACCATGTTGATTGGTCAGTATGCTCCCGTTCTGTTTTTCTACAAACTGGGGCTTACATGACACCCAAGCCTGCGAGGACTCGATGTGACCCTGACCAAGCCATCGATGCAGGGCTTCGTCTAGCATAGCCCCTCTCGTTTGGTAAGAGGACCCTGGTTCGCGGTCGGAGAGGGTTTTCGCTGGGCACCGCTGCCCAGACGCCGGCGTCCCGTGAGGGTCCTATTCGCACTGGGTGCCAGTGTCCCCACTTGCTGCACTTCTTGCATCGCGACTTCTTCCGGGTGCCCTCGCTGGTGATCTTTTGCCCGGATTGGCGGGAGTAGATGTTGATCAGCTGGCCCCTGACTGTGGAGTACGACACCAAGGTTTCACCGCCGGTGGTAAGTGCGTCGTGGCAGAGCTTGTTGAGCTTCGGCAAGAGCCATGTGGTCGGCCACTAGTCCCACCCGGGCACACACACCTTGAGGAAGTTGCAGTTCCGATCGGAGATCTTTGGCCTTTCCTTCGCGACTACTGGACGCTACCTAGTTATTGAGATGCCTCAGTTCTGGAGACCACCAATCAGAAATTTGGAGTCCATCTCATCCCTTGGCAAATCGAGAAGCTCCCAGGGGGCAGAATGCATAGAAGACATTCTCGTGTTCCCAGCAAAGATATACACAACTGATCAGATCCTTCGGACTTTTCATCAACATCATTTCTCCTTTACATTTCTTTTGCTTTGAGTCGCCTTCGCATTAGCATGGCAAACGTCAATGGCACCCTCACCATAGTTGCGCCTCCGCCTGGCTATTCTGTTGATTTTGAGAACCCTCTGCATCAACTCTTGACGGAGGTATATGTTGTCGTTGTGGTAGAGAATCTGCTCGCTATAGCCTTCCTGCTACAGCGGCTATATACTAGAATCTGTTTGATGAAGCTCTTCCAAATCGAAGACGGTAAGATGATACGCGACATGGGTTCTGGAAGGTCTGCTGATGGAGACTAGTCATTGGTGTCGCCGCATGGATATTGTCTTCTGCTACTCAAGCCACTCTCCTTGTCAGATGGCATCATGGAGTTATTGGCGTACATGCGTGAGAGATTTCCCTGGATGACTACGGTCTGTTAGACTTGTCAATAATCAAGTTAATCAAGTCTCAGCCTCCGGCTTGACTCGAGGCTTGAACATCTGTTGTGAGGCTTGATTGATTGGCTTGTTTATAGTTTTCGGTTTGAGGCTTGATTGAAAGCTTGATTAACTTGGTGTTGTATAAATCGACTGTTTATACCAAGTTCTTGTTCTCGTGATCCCAATCGCACAATCGATACATAGCGTCTATATCAGCGTCAGTTATAGTCGCTGTGGCAGCGCTATCGCCCTGATCAAAGCCAGCCCTATGCCACCGCTGTACGCACTGTATAGCGGTTAATAACTGAGGCGAGATCTGCCGTCTCCGAGGCTCAAGGAGATCGCCAAGCTCGCTAAACATGCGCTCACACTCGCAGCTTGAAGCTGAGATAGAGAGCACGTCAATAGCCATCTGCGCAAGGTTGGGGTAGCGATCACGCAAGCCTACCCAGTATTGAATAGGGTGAACCGCAGCGTAGCTACCCTTACTGGCCTTCGGTTCGCACGCCTTCCACCTCTCGTACTCATCCACATAGCCGTCAGTAGCAGCCATAACGCCATCTGGGTCTAGGAGGGCATCAATTGCGTCGTCGATCTCGTTAGAGATAACCTTTGGGCGCCTTACGGCACGCGGTGAACTGAGTGAGGTGTTATACTCTTCTCAAAGCTTGCGAACGCGCGGTTATTAGCCTCTAGCCACTCGGGTTTGTCCGCCCAGGCGGCCTCGCAGTACGTTTTAGAACGTGGATGGAGTACAGTTGCAGCGTAGTACGCAGGTGAGAGGTCAAGCTTGTTGTAGTAATCACTAGCCTTCGCCCAGGCAGCGCGGAGGTTAATTGCAAGGTGGTGTTGAAGTGGAGTAGTGGGGCTAATTCATAAAGGACGTCAGCGAACCAGGGAACCCATCTATGGATGCCGACCACCCTTAAATGACGCAAGATTGTTTTTTTACTTCCCTTCTTGACAACGCTTATAAAGGGTTGGAAAGGCCTATGCGCAAGAGAGACGAAGTTCGCTTGTATAAATCCGACCCAGGGCATGCTCGGCTATGGTCCCTATCACCGGTGCCGCATTTTCTGAACCAGATCGCCACCCGGATACGAGGCACGGCGTCACGTTAGTCAAAGGAGAATTTACATGCAGGTCCTTATCGTAATCGCAACATGAAGGCTGGCCAACGAGCACGCCGTCCGCAAGATTGTTGGCAAAGGTTGTCAGTGGCACAACGTAGGCTTTCGTTCGCCATGTCAACCATCTCGGACGAGTTCCCCCGTCGGGAACCTGCGGCTAGTGGGTTTGTTGCAAATGCGTACAGACAAACAGACGCGCTAAGCAGCCAAGTGGCTCCAGCCCGCGGCGAGTAGGATTCTGAACCCTAAGCAAATCACAGATCACTACTACCGGGGAAGTGGACGAACGGTGCGAATGGAGTTCTCGGAACGGTACGGGAAGTAGCATAGCAGAGTTTGTTCTCTTGAAGTTTGTTTTGCTGTTGCGGAGGATACATGGCATGGAGGCCGTGGACGGAAAGCGACTCTGAGAGCCATAGGGCATAGGGAAGTAGTTCTCTTGCGAATCCGGCCACCAAAGCCAGACACGAGGATTCGGCATCGCAAGCTGTCAGAACACGGGGACGGTTCATGAAACGTGCTGGGCGCAAAATGAGCCGCACAAAACACGGCACTTGAAATGTCTGCACAGGCGAAAAGAGTTCTGCATTCAGGGCGGAATAGGGGTCTTACAGCTAGTGTTAATCGTCCTGCGCCCCTTTCGCCCACCTGAGTGAGATGTGCGCTTGCAAGAACGCGAACCTAATCCAATCCGCTAACCGCTTACTTGTCAAATGCCCGCCGTGCCCCTCATCTTCGGGACCATGGCCGCGGCAAAAACACTCGAACGCTTGCCCAAGCTAGGAGCTAGCAGCCCACATACCACGACTCGATTTCTTTTGTCGACAAGCCACACGACCATTTGCGTCGCTGCAATGACTTGTGAATGCCACATTTATGTGGCACAGACAGGCCGAACGCATGTTGCCGATCTTCCAGCAGCAGCCTGGCCTCCTCCCGCCCCACGAAGACCTCACCCCGAACAGCAGTCTGTCTCGACTACCGTCGCAAGGATATCCAGAGCAAATGCACAATATTCTAGCGTTCAAAACATGCTAGTTACACCCACACGGCTCGGGGAAAGTGTTGAGACGTCTGTGAGGCACCACCTGGGCAAGGTCGCCCCAGACGGCATAATCAACTCGTCGATATACAATATGCTGCTGCTAAATCATTCTTGAACCACCAGTCTTCCCACATGATTAGTTTCTTTTACTTCACCTTCATCACCTTTTCTCGGCCAAACTCTTTGCACGCCGTCATCAACTATGGAGGACCGAAGTGGGCAAGTCTTGGGCATCGCCCTCACATTCATGGTCTTAGCATGGCTCACTGTCAGCCTTCGCTGCTATGTGCGGTAAGGCCCGTTCCATACTTCTCTCTAGAGGGCCGTGGTACTAATTTCAGTCTTAGCATCTTCATGGTGAAGGGTTTCGGCATCGATGATTACACAATGCTCCTTACACTATGCTTCTTCACATCATACCTCGTGTCCCAAATCGGCGGTGCTTTACATGGCACTGGTGTACGCCGTGAGAAACTTACAGATAAAAGCGCCCAAACAGCCCTGCACTTCTGGTTTTTCTGCGAGGTCTTCTATACACTTTCGACGTGTATGCTCAAAATCTCCGTTGGTTTCTTTTTACTGCGCATCACCATCGTCCGAATCCACGTATGGATCATCCGCATGATCATGGTCGTCTCAGCAGTCGTGGGAGTCGCGTATACTTCAGTCGTCATCTTCCAGTGCAAACCAACCTCATATTGGTGGGATCTGGATCCTACCCATCACGGCACTTGTCTCTCCTCAACACTGGTCATGAACTTCACATTCGTAGTATCGGGTCTAAACTCGTTTGCGGATTGGGTATTTGCAGTGCTCCCTATCCTTATCGTCAAGGATCTGCAGATGAAGAAGCGCATGAAGTTCGTCGTGGCCGGAGTCATTGCTCTCGCAGCAGTGTAAGTAGCAATGTCTTTTGCGAAAACGTCTCTTCCTAGTAGCGTCGCTAACGCCATCAACAGTGGCTGCACAGCAACCATCGCTCGTCTTCCCTATACAAGAACACTAAAGGGATACAAGGGAGACTTCCTCCACCGGACAACAGACTTCGCCATGTGGAGCACAGTGGAAGTAGGGCTGGGCATAACGGCTGGCTCCATCGCGACGCTACGGCCACTCTTGAAACAGGCTTTCGAGATCACCCGTTCAGCCTCAGCCATGCCGTGGAGCAAACCGTCGCTCACATCCGGTCAGCAACAGTCTGGAAAGGAGCTCTCCAACCTCAAGCCTTCGATCCAGAAGTCCATCACCATCACAACATCCCGTGCTCGGAGAGAAAGTGCCGGATCTGACGAGGAGATAATTTTGGGCTCCAGTATGCTAACTGAGTCATGGCAGCAGCAGCAGAACCTACCTGGATACATCACATCCAACTCGGTCGATGAGCGCGTGGCGCGGTCACAATCACAGAAAACCCACAAGCACAGGTCTAACGTAGAACGGAAAGGCAGTCCTGGTGGAGCCAGCTCGTCGACGATCGACAGCAATGAGTCGGGGAAGGCCGCACGAGGATATGGACATGAACGCTTTTGATCGGAGGTCTGATGATGGATCTCTTCAACTGACTAGTCTGTTAGCACCACCACTAGCACTAGCGCAAGCCTCACTCTCCACACCTTTCTTTTACATCATCACCTCATTGCCGCATTTCCATCTCATAGAGGCTCCCTACTTCTCCTCGAGGCGAGCCATCATCTCATCACTCCACATGATTACACCGCTTCATCGCCCCCTTTCGTCTTCCCAGTCCCATGCTCGCCATTCTTGCTCTTCAGGGCATACTCCAAATCGTCCAACCGCTCCGAATACGCATTCGCCACTGCCGTAAGCTGATTCAATGCTTGCATAAGATTCGTTGCCGCTTTGAGCAAATCCTCTATATGTTTCTCGGCCAAGTTTTCCGAGTCCAGACCTCCTGCCGCTGTCCCCAATTCGGAATAGAGTCTCTAAATATTTCGCATTGGGGCTCAACCCCGCCACGCAGCATCGTGGCTGCCGACTGCATGGCTGCCTTGACTCGCTTGCTGGGTGCGAGGGTGTCGAGATAGGTTTTGAAGTTGCTCATCTTGAAGCAAGTACGAAGGAGCTCGTACCGTGTCCGTGCACTCAATGCGCACAATCAGTCAATGCGCACACATCACCATAACAGTACTTTGCAAAAATGAGGCTATTAAGCCACACACAAAAGCAATCATCACAAGATTTCTTAGTGGGGTGTTTTATAGACTTATGCGACAAACTCTGCCACTACAGTTTCTTGCGCGGAGCAATTTTGCGGCCACGGGAGTTGTACTTTGGTGGCGGTGTTGGGGTACGCGGCGTGTCAACAACACCACGACGCGTAGCTGCAACACCGCAATTCTGCTTCTTCTTAGGTGCTGTACTTTGTGAAGCTTTTCGCTTGCCACTTTAGGATAGTTGTAGCTCTTTTTCACGGTCTTTCTTCTCTTTGTCCTTGCGTCATTGCTCCTTGCGCGCATCGATTGCCTTGCGCTCCTCTGCCTTCGCCTTCCTCCGTGCCTCTTGGTCTCGTGCACGCTGCGCCTTCTTTTCTTCTGCAATCTTGTCGTTGTATAGCTTATTAGCCTTCCTCAACTCTCTCATGTCGGCCTTGTTTTTCTCATCTGCTTCCTGCTCCTCTTTTGCCTGCTTCATGCGCACCTTGGCTTCGCGGAATGAGCGAGGAGTCCACAACATCTCCGGTCACCAGTACTCATAATGTTGTAGCAAACTTAGAGACTTGCCCTTGGTGTTGCCCTTGCGCTTAGTGACTAACGCGTCGCGAAGCCCCTCATTTTCGCTCATTAGAAGAGTGTTTTGTATAGCCAAATGGTGTAGCGATTGTCTCATAGTTGGGGTGTCCTTCTCCGAGGCACCACACGACGCTCATTTGGCCACAGTGTTTAGCTTTTGCCAGGCATCTCCGCCATATGTAGGAGCTTCAGAAGACGCGTCGCTTGCTGTTTCTGTGTCGCTATTCGTGAATCGATCGAGGATAACGTCGGGATCGAAGGGGTGTATGCCTGTTGCGTTGAACGAGCTCAAAATGTTCTTTTCTGTGAAGCTGGCTACTCAAGCGTCCCAGAAAAGTGAGAAGAAATTTGCTTTCTTTACAGGAACTAAGCCACGGTGCTTGTGAAGGCGTGTTGCTAGCTTCTTTGAGTACGCTGTGCTGAGAGGCTTGAACATTACTACATCTAGCGGCTGCAACGTATGGGTGCTGTGAGGCGGATAAACAGCTAAGATTATCTTGTGCCGGTGACAGTACTCCAGAAAATCCTCGGTTAGATGGCTCCCATGGCCATCCACGAGCAGCAGGCGGTACTTCCTCCGAGCTTTGGCTGCTGTAAAGCGATGGAAAACCTGCTGGAGCCAAGCAAGTCCAAGACCACCGTTGCTCTAGCCGCTCTGTGATGTGCTGAAGAAGCACATATGCTCGCCTGCTTTTACATCCTCCACCCAGGTGTCTTGGATGTTTTTTGACTCTGCCGCATATATGAGGCCTGTTGGCAGAGCTGTACCGTCCGCGCAAACGCATGCCAACAAGCTTATCCACTCGCCATTGCCGTCTTGGAGTTGCTGTCGAAACTGCTTCCTCTTGAAGAGCCGCTTACTGAAGATCCTCTTCATCCTGCCAACAGCTCCAATCATGAAGCCCTTCTCGTCCATATTGTAAGTGTTCTCCGGCAGGATGTCGTAGAACTGTATCTTCTCGTGCAGAAGCTCAAAGTAACGTGTGTACTTTTCACCAGAATCAGCGTTGTGACGATCGCGGTCCATAGACGTTGACCATTGAGAGGTGAGCTGGTCGTCATTACGGTGGACAAAGCGGCCAACCCAGGCGTCGGAGACAGGTACCTGAGCAACATCTGATGCATAAGTTTGCACCATCTCCCTTGTAGGTGGTAAGTGTTCGTCTGTGAGTTTATCTATGTACTTGACAAGCTCTGCCTCCTGTGGTGGTTGCAGTTTGCGGCGTGCTAAACCTGCCTCTTCGCGGGAACGCGTGTTGCCTCGCCATCGTCGCGTCAACGTTGACCGCACCACATTATGCTTTGTGGACAATTGCGACCACGGAATATCTTCTTGGCATTCGAAAGTATCTGCCTCTGCAAGCGCTTCTTTTAGGCCCATCGTGGTGTTGTGCAGTAAGTACTCAAAAAAGGGTGTATGCGACGCGTCCCGCGCATTGACTGATTGTGCGCATTGAGTGCACGGACACGGTAGACGCGCGGAAGGCCGCCAGAGCCGCTGCTAAACAGGCTCGCGACTCTGCAAAAGGTATACAACAGTCCCAAAGAGGCAAATCTACAACCTCAAAAGCTTCTGTAGTCAAATCAAAGCCTGCGCGTCGTGCTGTAGGTGCTCGTAGTCGCCCGAAGCCTGCGACGCCTCCTCCGCCCGTGCGAACCCACACTACACGTAGTGGCCGCACCGCCACCTTATATAAATAATATATATAGAGGAACTTGATCGCATATGTCTATAGAGTACTCCACCAAAGATTTTCGTAGTAATAACTATTGTACGTGGCTCTGTAGCCTCATCTCTGTGATGGGCTTCAAGGCTCGGAGCGGGCGTCCGGTGACTCTGGGCGTTGGGTGCACGGACACTGTAGTCTTGGCAACCGCGCCGCTAGTGAGTCCAAGCGACCAGCTGCTGAGCACGACGACGGTTCCTCGACTTCACAACGTCACGCGACATGTTGCCATGTCTTCGCTGCAGGTCACTTTTGTGCAGCATCACTACGTCACATCGCTCTCCAGTTTTGCACACTGTTCCTTAACGCCAACCGGGAGGAAGCCCTTTGTGCTTGCGCCCTGCCCCGTTACGCTTCTGAAGCCTACCCAAATGCTAAGAACGTACGCATCGGACGCAGAAATGGTATCGGGAAATATGTAAAGCAAACACACATACACACACACACATACACAAATCGTACGGTCTTAAAGCAGCAGAGTCGGTTTTAAAAAATCTGGCTAATTTACACTACTACTTACTGTCGTATTACGAAATGGTTTCGAAGCGAGCAGCAAACAAGCGAAAACGGACCTCGAACACTCTCGCCCGAAACAAGCGACGTCGAATAACACAGCTCGCCTACACCAGCGCATCTGAACCCCATCGAGATCATGGGCCTGCTAGCGAAATATTTTGGGCGGCGAGAAGGATCTTGAAGGACAATGGATCGTGCTATCTGGTCGAATGGGAGGGCATCGACCCAGGGACAGGACGTCTGTACGAGCCGACGTGGGAACCGCACGATTTTGTCACTCCAGCCCTAGAAGCAGAGTGGAAGGAGATCATTCCTGCTCGAAGCACCGATACAGGACATACCCACAGTCAAGCCCAATCGTTTGAAGAAGCCGATAATCGAATGCAGTCCTTGAGCGGATCGCCGGAACTAGTGACGTCTAGGCAACCTCCGACGAAGAGGGTAAATCAATGTCAAAGCGTCTCGACAGCTTTTCCGCAGCAAATGCATCAGTCACAGCGCAGTTTCAGTTCGCTCTTCCTAGAGCCACAGCAAAGTGCGTGTGCGTTAGAAGGTGGAAACTCGTATACGTGCGGTGTTATACTTGCTAGGCAGAACAACGTCAATCTGACAATCAGTACTACGACTACGCTGGAAGAAACATCGGGCTCGAACCAGCGGAACCCAGCTACCGCGAACGTTTCTGGCCATACGAATGAGGTGATTTGACCTTTCTCCAATAACGCTAGCATGGCTTGCTGACCATGTGTCCACAGGATTTGAGCGCTACGGATCCGGCCGCGCTGGGTTTGCGACACAGTCTACATGCTCAGTCTTCGGCTTGCATCGAGAAGGTCGGTAGTGTTGGCATTATGCAACTATCGTCGCACCCTGATCCCGTAGGGAAGCTCCAGGATGCAGGATGCAAGGAAAGTGAGCTCCCAGAGAACCCAAGTCAGGAGGGGCTAGAGCCATTGGAGCTGGCTAGGCGGGAGTCACAAAGAGCCCATGCTTGTACGCTTGAGGAGAAAGGTTTACCTACGTCTGCATTGCTCACAACCAGGAAGCCCTTGGAGACACAAGAACAGCAAGAAATGCAGGGCGAGCTGGAGATCCTGGGGGCCATGCCGTCCGCACCCGCCAATGAAGTTGTTCACAAAGAGCCGGAGCTTCAAGCAGAAGCCGACGTGGTGTCTTATACAAAGACGTGGAGGGAACCCGTTCTCGAAAAAGCCGCACTTGTTCTACTTCAAGGCGGGACGGTCGAGGAGCAAAGCAAGGCACTGGTGAGTTCAGAACGATCACCAGGACGACTTTCCAAAGATTGCTGGACTCATGAGAAGGCTGTGATACAACATGCACCGGCCGAGCCCGACGTAAGCGATGAGCTCACAAGGCTTTTAGCACGGTCCGAGCGGTCAATATCATCATCTTCAGAACAGAGCGAGTCCAACCTGCAGAACCTTAAATCGCGCGCAGATACTCTACCTGTTTTAGCAATAGACCGTACACCGATTGCACCCTCGGCGTTATCCTCACAGCTAGGGTTGAGGCTAGATACTAAGATCACAGCCGAGCAGGCGTTTGCCAAGCAGGGTGTCAATGCTCCGGCTAGGGGTAGAGATGCCAAAACGTGCCCTTTGCCTGCAGCGGCTCTAGCAGTGTGTGCACGCCATACTTCGGAGCAAAACAGCCTCCCGGAGACTGAAACTGGAGGTCTTCCGGCCCCGCCGGCTTTGAATCGGAGTGTCAGAGATCTTGAGGTTGTACCTGATCGGGAAGTGCAAGTTCGTATTGCAAACAGCATGCACACTATTGATGGAGAGCAGACTGCTCCTATTACCCGTGATTCGTTCACCTTAAAGCCACCAAATTGTGGGGAAGCGGATCAGGACTCTGCGTCCAGGCGATGTAAGAACGGCTGCCGCACTGTCAACCACCCTATCTCACCTGTAATCGACGGTGTAGACATATCTCCAACAAGCCCTAGTCGGGGACCGCGATCAACCCTTGAAAGAGCAGATCAGTTTTCAGATGAACTAGCTGTGGCTCTACGGCCTCTACTAGAGCCTTCCGCAGCTGCGAGCTGCAGTGGTTCACCCATCTACCAGAAAAGGTTGCACAGCATGGAGCTTGCACCGCAGCACATACAGCCCCCCGTAGATTATCGCAGGTATAGCGGGCGATGGACTACTCGGTCGCACGAATCACCTCAGGGTGACATCCAGTTATTACAGCATCGCGATGCTTGCGCAATGAGCCCAAGTCACAGTAACACAACACTATTTTCTGAGCTACACATCCCCGTGCGTAGGACAGATTGGAGCAGCGCAGAGCGAGCAGTTGCAACAAAGCCAATGCAGTGTGCTGTCTTGGTCGAACCGAGGCGAAAGAAACCACTCATGAAGCGGGCCAAGACTGAGTGTGGAACATGCAGAAGGCGTAAGGAGAAGTGTGATGAAGCAAAGCCTGAATGCAACAACTGTACACCTATCGGCGTCATCTGCCAAGGCTACATGGACAAGATGATGTTACGAAAGAATGAAATTTCAACGTCTCTACCTTCATTATCAGATCCAACGCGAATGCACATGGACGCACATCAGCCTGAAAGCAGACCACGCCGCTACGATCTTGCATATATACTTAATGGCGAGCCCGGCCTCGGTAGCAGCCAGAGCATCCACGAAGACACCCACGCTCCCGTTCAAAGTGCAGACACTGTTGATGGTGGCGTTACTGTCGAAGAACGCAGGTTTCCATCCCCTGCATCAAGCGGGGGAACGGGCAGGCATGATCTGTCCCACGTATCGTGTCTAAGAGAGCAGTCATATCCGCCTGCTCATCATCCTCAATCTCCGCTTGCGCCTGTACCTGTTTACGAGAGGGACGTATCTAACAAAGACTGTCGAGTGATGCATCCTATCCAAATCCTACCTTCGTTATATCACAACCCACGCATACATGATCAGACAGCGCAAAGTGTGGATCGTGGCACTGCCAATCCTTCTGTAGTAGCATCCGAGGCTCACCAACAGAGAGCACAGTCACCGTGGGTTTTATTGTCAGCTATCCCAACTGCTGCACCGCCAAAGCCATCGCTATCTTGGCGTAAACAAGCACCAAGTCTCCCGAAAACTGAGAAGCAGAAGATGTTAGATGAAGAGCCTTTTGTGCCCTACAGCACTCAGTTAGTTGACGATCGAAGGCAATGCGCAGCTGTACTATACCGCTTCAACACCGTCGATGCGGTACCCGAGGTCGTGCAGCGTGTGCGTGAGCGCTATTTCAGAGCGGCTATAGAGGCAGCTTGCATAGTTGTCAACAATCAAGCCAATCCAAGCTGAGGCGTTAGCTTGGATTGCTCGTTTTTTGAGGGCGTCAGCTTGGATTGTTAGGGCTAACAAGCTGAGATCGTGAGCTTGATTGAGGCTTGATTGATAGGCTTGATAGCCTGTACTAGCGCTAGCCTTAGTGTTGAGTTTCGTCGTCCCAAGTCGCTAGCCCGCAGAGTTGTCAACAAGCAAATCAATCAAATGGTGAGGCCCTTATTTGCTTTGATTAGGTCGTTTTTGAAGTTGTGATTGATTTGGTTGCTTAATTAGGAGCATAACCAAGTAATTACTTAGTGTTTATTTGGTTGTTTGGTTGTTTGGTTGCCTAATTAGGAAGTCGTGATCACGATTGCCGTAGTAAACAAAAAGAAGGTCTTGCAGGTTGCGATTGCTACTCTAAGGTCAAAAAAAAAGAACTAAAATAGATTGTACAGATCGTCTTGCTCGTTTGAGGATCCGTCTTACAGCGTAATTATTTGCAATTATAACCCAGCAAGCAGTTATAGTATAGGGTATATATTGTAAAGAGCTTGGGAGCTGGGCGATTAACGTGGTGGAGGATAGTACGTTAGAGTTGCTGCTAGAGTTGCCGCTGAAGGGTCCGTTAGAGAGCCTCTATTTGAAGCTGTTAGCATGTGAGGTGTAGAGTAAAATGTAGGTTAGTTGCTGCTGTTGACTTACCTAGAGCTGTACTCTCGTCGTCGTCGTCAGTTAGAGTGTCCCAGTTGTCGATATTATAGAGTCTGTTGAGATCACTGTCACTCAACAACTCCCGGGAAGATCATGTCTTATCGGAACGTGGCAGCACATCAGCAACTCTCACAACCCCAGTCCAATACTTACCTCATGCAAGGTCGCAGCACCAAACATCAGCATACAACGCGCATCCAATACGCGCGTAATCCTTCGATGTGAGGATCTCCGCGTGGCCCGTCTGCCCGTCGTGGATCCAGCCTACCGACTGACTTGCGCAGGCGTCGCCCAGTCCGGGAAGATCAGGAATCTCGCAGAGCCATCCACCTACGAAGACGTGTTCGAAGGTGTCTAGCTTGCCTCGAGCTATTACCTGGCCAAAGGTACCAGGGTTGAGCTTGTGGGTCTCGGCGCCGTTCCCTGCCACCACGGCGTCCATGGCATTGGTTTCCAGCTCAGGGTCATGCACAAGAGCCTCCATGTTTAATTTCGCGCGCCACTCATTGACGATCTCTATGTAGTCCCTACTAGGGATCGCGGGATGGGCGGTGAGCGTAGGCATTGTGTGTGTAGACGTTAGCGTAGTGGTCATGGTTAGACTTGTCAACAAACAAATCTGGAGTCATGGTGGAGATGGGACGGGACCCTTTGATACTGTTGAAAGCGCTAGGCTGGTCATGATAGATGGTGCTCGATATCGCGGACATGCTGAGTAGGGAGAAGAGCGTCTCGGCTGCATGAGCCTGACTCGAGCAGGCTGTGTGCAGCGTGCTTTGGGATGGGAGAGACGCAGGCACATGGTCAGACACATGAATGGCAGCCAAAAGATTTGGAATGGAACCGAGGATGGCTACCATACGAAAGGTAGCGGCAAACATTGTGGAGATCACCTTTGAGAGCACAGAAAAGACGTGAGTATAGAGCGATGGGCCAGATGCCAGTGGCTTCAAAAGCCTTAAGAATTAAAGGCTCTTTGAAGCTGTTCATCCACGCATTCCAGAACAGGGCAAAGAAGTCCCTCTTTGCCATAGATAACATGCCCCGGCCTTAAAGCATGTATGCATCAAGTTCTTGGCTGTATTGGGATGAAAGGGACTTGAACATAACCACGTCAAGTGGCTGGACAGTATGGGTAGCATGAGATGGAAACTGAGCCAGGAGAATCCGGTGGCTATCACAATATTCCAAGAAATCCATTGATAGATAGGACGCATGGCCGTCGACAAATAATAGACGCCATGACAGTCGAGCCTTGTCCTTAGTCGGCCGGTCAAAGACCTGGATAAGCCATTGTAAGCCTATATCGTTATTGCTCCATCCAGACGTGGATGCTGTAACAAAGGCTGAATGGTCCTGAGGGTTGATATCAGCCACCCAGCTGGCTTGAAGCGTGCTGGCGTCTGACTGATAGATGATGCCCGGGTCTAGAGCCGTCCTATCTGAACATATGCAGGCTATAACTGATATCCACTCTCTTGACCCATCTCTAATAGTTTCAGTAACCTCTCTTCTCTTATACATCCTTCTGCTAAAGACCCTGAGGCGACGAGAGGTTAAGCCAATCAAGACGTAAGGGGCTACGCAAAGGTTGCTGATGCCTGGTAACAGGATTGTATTCGATGAAGAGGAAAACCTATCTACGGTGCTGCGATATTTATACACGTCAAGCTTGTCGTTCGCGTAGTATCTCGAAGCTTCTAGAGTGCCGAGGACACTCCGAAGGTTCCACCGAGGATCGTTATAGCATCTAGGCTCTAGCCCGTTACATGCATAACGTGTTCCACCACTCATCCGGCCACACCGGTCCTTCGGCCACCCCAAAAACCACCAAACATGACGAGAATCGCACCTCAAGATTTCAACATCCGCTATGCAGAAAGACTAAGATTTTCAATATAGTCTTTTTCGCGCCTGCAGAGTATATTTGTATATATAACACAATTAGATCCAGTCATTATTGATACATGAGATGTTATCCCTATTTTAGCCCCCGAATTTTAATATCTTAACAACAGCTTAGTTATAAACCTTAATACTCTAATATATGTCTAAGAAGGAGTGTAAGAAGCTTATGTTACAACACTAAGTCTTTCTGCATAGCGGATGTTGAAATCTTGAGGTGCGATTCTCGTCATGTTTGGTGGTTTTTGGGGTGGCCGAAGGACCGGTGTGGCCGGATGAGTGGTGGAACACGTTATGCCCTTGGCAAGCTTCAAGAGTGAGGCATCGTGCCTATTTTCTAACCGTCATCCTCGCTAGATCCTAACCTAATTGAGGCAGTGTAGAATAATGTAAAGGACTGTATAGAGCTATACTATCTTGATTAGCCTAATAGACGGCAGTGTGCATACTGTCAACTCGGAACCATTGTACAGGAAGCATAGGAAACTATTACCTGGTAGGACCTTAGAGATATCATAGGCACAGTGTGAGACCGCTGTCAGGCGATAACTGATGCTCATGGAGGCTATGCAAATTACTGAAACATCCCTGTAGAGTATCCCAGAGCTTTGCTCAATCCAGCCACAAGTATACAGCCGAGCATCCCTGTTGTGCTAATCCACCTACGCTACCTACGCCAGACATCGAGTATCGTACCAGCGATTGTGATATACCATACACTGCCTCGTCAATGGAGCCCTTCTGTCGGATATGCCTCACGACGTAGCACTTCAAGGCGCAAACCGCTTCTACGGAGTAAGCTCCTTGTAACACATTACTAGAGCATAGTCACGCGAACCATGATTGGCTGCCGAATGCTGTGCGAACTGAATTTCGTACTATCTTATATAACTCACTCCAGAATTGTATACCGTGTTGTCTAAAGGATGTATGCTGTCTGCTATACGATATTGAAAAGGTCCGCAAAAACGCGTGTTCAGGATGCGTCTGGTGCGGCGATCACACTCGAAGTCTGAGCATAGATAATCTGCTGCGGCCATGCTAGCCACTTAAGCAGATCAGGTGTCGTTGCCAACAGATGCTCTAAAGCGACAAGCAACCAGCGCGGCCATT